TTCCAACCCTAACTATTCTATGGTTCTATAAATAAGAGCTTTTGCATTAGTGTCACACAAAGACTTTTGTTCTTTCTGTCATTTTTTTTGTGTACCAAACCAACCTACCCAGGTAAACAAATTGTTTGTTCTAGAGTTGTTGATTTTACTGTTTTAATTTAAATCTCTTACAGCTGTGATGCTTACTTCTCTCATACTCTTTAATTTTTATAACTATCCTGAAATCTGTATTAGGAATCAATGCCTGTAAACTCCAGATGGACTAAATAGGTTTAGTGGATTTACTAATGTGCTTTGGTGAGAAGCATGTGATTGTTGGTGTGAGAAAGACTAGGAGAGGTACAGGAAGCCATACTAATACTGCTAGGAACAAGTTCAGGGCATTTGTTATGTTCTGCTACTGTTTTGGTAAGGAACAACAAAATGAGAATCTGAAATATAATATTGGGTGATGTAAGCAGAAAAAAGAAACTTGAGTGAATTGTTGCTTACTATGTTTGAAAGAAATGGTGTGAGGAACAGATGACATGGAACCAAACTTCTTCAAAGAAAATTGAAGTGGTTTAGGAAATTGATATAAATGAGAATCTGCCAAGGACCTTGAGACATAGGGTCTGGTATGCTTCAACCTCATCAGTGCAACTTGCTGTAGTATGTGGAGCATGGGTAAGAGCTTCATTTTTTGTTTGCTGTTCATAGCATTGTTTGGGAAATGTGGCCCACACTGCTGCTGCTGCTCAGCTGTTCGGACTCATGAATTCCTGAGTTGTTTTTATCAAGTGCCTGTCTAACCTGCTATTAAAAAAATTCTGTCGGTGGAAGATCTGCAGTCTGCATAGTTAGTCCTTCCTAGTGTAACTCTTACTGAAGTACTACACTGATCTGTTTCTGTGTTGTAATTCAAGCCAGTGGTGATCGTTCTGTACCCCATGGATGTGAGAATGCATTATTGCTGCTGTATTATCTTTTTTTCCCAGAAAGTCTCTTGCACCTGAAGACTTTTCTGTCATCTTTCCTTGTTTCTAATTGCTCATCTTACTTTCTGAAATTCTCTCCAGCGGGTCATTTACACTGGTATGCAGATGCTGCAGAGCACTTGATTCGCATGAGAGCTGAGCTGTGCTCTTAGTGAAGAGAACTGAGAAGATGGACTATATAGCTTATATGGAGGAGTGAATGAGTTCTTAAATATAGCAAGGTTGCTCTATATAGACCAAGAAGTTAGTGATGAGCAGGTCAAATGTTCCAGATCCATAAAATTTCACATTTAAATTAAGTCCATTTTGGTTGTAGTTTCTTATGAAAAAGAAAACATTGTACTTGGTAAACCACCTCAACCTCATGTTAAAAGACTTGCAGTTTCTTGCATTTCGCAAAAGCATGAAACACACGTGAGCTAATAAAGTATTTTCTGTGTAGAGCTTTGTCTAATAGTAATCTTCCATTCCAGATAATGTTCAATAGAAAATTTAAACCTCTTATTGCTGAAAAATGGAGGATCTAACTGTCTTTCTTCAGAAATTATCTGTAGGCAATGGGTACACTATTTGCTGTCAGATTTTTCTTTCCTAGGAAATTTTTCCTATGAATTTTAATTCTGATCAGTTTTTCTATTGTGAGTGCATCTTGATTCTTTTTCCCTGACATCTTACTCCATTGTAGTTATAAACATATTTGTGAATGTTTCCTGTACCATGTAGCTCATTCTCTATATCGATTAGGGTGCGTAGCTGAGTTTTTAGTAAGCCAACAAGTTCCACATAATCCCCTTCAAAACTTAAGGTATCGGTATTTACGGTGTGACATCCTGTATCCCATTTGAATCAAAACCACATCTACATTTGCATATTTGTCATGTACATTTCTCTTGACCTTCTTTTATACAACCTCATTTGAAGTTTCTATTCCTGGGTCACTTTTTTTAGGCTGTCATCAAAACTTTCATCAGTGTTGGCAGAATAATAAACATCTCTAACTGCAGACTGGAACTGAGACTTCCTGTGACCATCTCCTCCTGTGACTGGTTTAGCACTGGAGAACCTCTTGAGGTAGAGAATAGAAGTTATTTCTGTTAGTGCCTTTAGCATCTTGCAACAACATCTGGAAAGAAGAGAGGCAAGAATCCCCTTTTACAATAGTTCAGTTTGAGCATTTTAAGCCTATAACTCTTTCATGTTGTTCTCACTAGATTTTTGCAAACTAATAATCTGCTAAAATAGATCAAATAGTAGTAATGGTAATACCAGAATAAGAAAGAAATACTTTGAAGGAGTTTGTAAGAGTTTTAGATCTTTTCCTAAAGAAAACTATATTGATTCAACAGAGCTGACCTATGTTATCCAATGTTACAGCATTGGTTCTGCAGAATCCTAAATAAAACAAGGAAGAAAACTATATAGGCTATTACATGCTAAATAATCTTTGATTGGTAGGCTTTGATTCATGATGACTTGAAATAAGGTCACTGGAAGTCATCTTACTGAAACTGATTGACAGCCAAGGGCAAATACTGAGCCCTTGTCATGCCCGTTTTCTGTAGTGGTGGTATATCAACAAAGATCTTGAGTTAGGCTGTGGTCAAGAAGAAAACCCTCAAAATGAATTTCTGGCTGTGAATTTGTCTTGCGTCCATTCCCATGCCCTCAGTCCATCTGGGATGAATCATCTGTCTTTGGCTGTAAACGAACTGTTAATTTGTGTTTATAGGATTGGCTGCCCTGGAGACATGGCTCTGGCAAAACAGTTGAAAGGAGTGATGCTGCTGCATTTTTGTTCTATAGTTGGCCTTAATTCATTTGTGTAGGG